AATGTCTATCTGTGTTTCATTGACTATGCAAAGGCATTTGACTGTGTGGATCATAACAAACTATGGCTGACTCTGAGAAGAATGGGAATACCAGAACACTTCATCATGCTAATGGGAAACCTATACTTGGACCAGGAGGCAGTCGTCAGAACAGAGCAAGAGAACACTGCATGGTTCAAAATTGGGAAGGGCATACACCAGGGATGCATGCTATCTCCATACCTTTTCAACTCCCACTTTACCCAGTTAAAATGAAGGGAAGCTCTTGTGTTTGACAAAACTCTAATAAATTTGTAGTTATTGCCTGGGAGTTTCTGTCATTCATTCACTTATTGCAGTTGAGTCAGCATTGACTCAAAGCTGACTGGAGGGTTTCTCAGATGCTGTAAATTGCCTGGGAGGAGGTTGCTTATCTTTCTTTCTCCTGTGGAGCTGTTGAATTCAAACCACTCAACTTTGAATTGACAGGACAACTCCTTACCTCCTGGCCACCAGAGATCCCTCATGTATTCTTTAAATGGGATTAAGTGTCTTAAAGTTTATAATGGCACTTCTGGAATTCTTGAAGTGATTTTCAGACCCTGAAAACAGAGCGTGGGTGCTCATTTGAAGGTAGTATGGATCTATACCAGCCATGGCTCAATTCCAGAATGTTGGTTCTCAACCCATCTTGTATGTCTAACAGCCAAGGGTGTTAGCTAGTCTGAGGTACAGCATAGATATGCTATTTTTTAGCAGCCAGGTAGGAAAACTTCTCTTAGAGATGTTTTTTCTTTTTTTGTTTTTAACTAAAGTAAATGTAAGGGCTTCTGGTAGCCTAGTGTCAAGGAGCGTTCTGTCAACCCAAAGGCATGTGGTTCAAATCCCTACCTGCTCCATGGGAGAAAGACAGGTAGTCTTTTCCGCTGCAGTTTACCACCTCTAACAACCCAGTGGAGGGTCAGCTATAAGTCAGTTCCAACTCCACGGCACACAATAACAAAGTGAATATGTAGACATTGCTGTTGTAGAGAGCACTATTTGCTGGGACTTCATCAAGTTACCACAATATAGTGTTCTGTTTTGTTTTGTTTTAAGATTGAGAGGTTAAGCAGAAAGTAGCTAGTTTGAAAACTCTCTGTTGACTTTAGTATTGATGCAGTCCTACAGCAGATTCCGGGGAGGGAGCAGACTGGGAACTGGGCAGCATCACATTTGCGATAACAGAGCACATGAATAGTAATACGGGCTATGCTTTACTCCAGCCTTTGTTGTTGTTTTGTGCCATTGAGTCCACAATGACTCATAGCAACTCTATGAACAATGGCTCTGGACCTTTCCCTATCCTGAGTCAACCTCATCATCTCTAAGTTCCTTCAGTCCAACAGGTATCCTGCATTACTTCAAATTAACCACCTGAATGGACGCAGACAATTTTAATGATTCTCGTTTAGCATGTCAGTCAGCACTAGCCTTAGGACAGATTTATACATCCTCAGTTTTACAATATCTCTTTGCTTCTCAGCCTTTTGGCTAAGATCAAGTGTAGTTTTACAATATCTGGTAAAGGGAGTATTCTCCAGTTAGACATAATATCCATATTTTTATCAACTACCAGGGTCAATATCAAGGATATCAAAAGATAGAACAGCCGTTTGAAAAAGTAAGCCCTTGACATCACACCTTCCAAACACCTAAATTAACCAACACAGTTCTTCATTCATAAAAAGAACATCTGATTCCAAAGGAAACAGATGAATAGGAAACAGAATGGAATTTTTAAAGATGCTAGAATCCTCTAAGAGTTTTAAGAAGATGATACAGGTATAAAAATGACACATAAAATATGAAAATGAAGTGGTTAGATCAAGAAAGGGTTTGTAGAAATGAGAGCACATCATAGTAAAAATAAAATACTTAATAGATGAAAATGGGAGACACAATTGGAACTTAAAGTGACAAATGAAATATTGAAAAGCACAAATAATCAGATTAACCTGAAGCACATGAGGGCAAACCATCTTAAAAATGGGATTTTTTTTTATACAGAATCAAGAAAATAAAGAAAAAAGGTAATGAAATTATTTCAAAATAGTAGTTGAAATTTGGTCATCTTGTGGTCATTTGTACAAGCTGTAGTGACCTCCATGTTGCTGTAAAGCTAGAAGCTATGCTGCTGATATTTCAAATGTCAGCAGCGTCACTCATGTTAGACAGATTTCAATGACGCTTTTACACTAAGACTTGGAAGAAGTACCTAGCAATCTACCTTAGGAAAAAATTAGTGAAAACTTTATGAACAGCAGCAGAGCATTGCTGGGTATGGTGAAAAAGAATAAATGCCTTTTAATAATGGTGGTGAAGAATATTGAATATACCATGGCCAGCTGAGAAAGGAGTTCTGGAGGCAGAGTCTATAGGGAGTTGCTCTGCTAACCCAACTTGATGCGTCTCTAGTGTTTGGGATCCACCAGTGACTCCTCAGGGG